TATCCAAAACAATAACATGCTCTGACGAGCGAATAGGGATTTTTTTATGAAGTTGGAGAGAAATCACTAATGTCTAAATATATATCAGTGATGTCTTTAATCAAAGTACAACCTTTTGTTGAAATAGTGTTGTTAGAAATTAATGTTATCAATATTTTTTCTCGTTTGGATACATGTTCATATAGAAAATTTATTTCTATCCTTCTATTACTAATAATACTTCTAATTATATAAAAACAGCATAAATACATCCAGTTGACACTTGAATAGAATATCATTTGAAATTACGACATAATTAAATTTACCAACCCACCATAAAGAGTGTTAGCTTGTTCAAGTTCATGTCTGGGTGGATAGCACATTGTGTGTATAAGTGATTAAGTTCTGAAGGCAACACATTATGTCTCTAGTTATGTATTCCAGCCTGTATTTACGATATTGACTGTTGAAGATTCCTAGGTCGATGACAACTACATGACACAACCCTTATCTCAACCTTGTCAGCTTATTTATGCTACAGAACAAATCTCGTAGCTGTAGTCTTTAAAATGACTTCTGAATAATATATAGAAGCAATTATTGACTCGCGGTTATTTGGTAAATGCACGAAGAGCAAATTTCCGTTGATGTATAGGACGAGTTGACTTGTAACCGGGTGTCTCTGGGTGGGACGTGGACTGAGAGACGCTACACTGGTGAAAAGACGTGATAAATTAAGAGACTATCCCACACAGTGGTACTTGTACTATAGCAATCCTTAAGTGTTTTTAATCACAATATTGTTGGGGTAAATTAAAGTGTGATAAATTCCACGCCACTGGCCTACATGCAGACGCTGAGAATTAAATCTGGGAATACTGTTTCATTATATATGTATGTTTAAATTTCATGCACCTTGTAAACCTGTGCAAAATTGAATTTTAGAAATGTATATGGTGGCAGTTTGAACACAGCTGTCAAGTACTGAACATTGTAAGGTGTTAAATGCAAGCATAAATTTTGATTATTCAAAACTAATGTCTTTGAGCATGTTATATTTTGAAATACAGTTGCACCCCTTATGGAACATTTATCTGTAGAATGAAAAATAATTCCAGCCAAAATACAACGCATTTGATTTTTCTATTCTAAGAATTTCTCACTCTTCGGTTACTATGATACTGTTGTATTAGTATTCTCTATTGACACATAAGGCCCCTTATGTCCTTGAACCGTATACTCATTCAATACAATATATCTGTAAATCCACCTGAAAAATATTTTAACCTTCTGGAATAAAAAAAATCAGACAGCGGTATTTCTATGAATGGTCTAAAATCTTCCATATTTCTAATATAAAGTCTGGTAAAACAATGTTTTAAATGATTGTTTGTGCAATTTTTTTAAATCAATTTAAAAACAAAATTGAAAAAAATCATTACCAAAATGAATAGGTAAAATAATTAAGTGCAGATGGTAATATAAACATAAACATACGATGGTTGAAAACACAGAACAAAACTACAAATATTATTGTATAATAACTATTTTGATATTCCATGAATGCAAATGTGTTTTCAGAATATCGGGAACGTGTCCATTGCACTTTGGATAATTTGAATTCGATAATGACAGGATATGTATACTTGTGTCGTAATCAATCAAGTTACATTTGTTTTTAAAACAAAACAAAAACGTTACACCTTTCGTTATTATCACATCACACATTTTAATTTATTACATTACACTTTTCAAAAGTCCTCTTTTTCAATCCATCAGTTCAAGCAGTTGCTGCTGGTATATAAGAAAAACTTTTGCAGTTTCGTTTCACACTATGATTCTCTTAGAACAGGAAATACCATAACCTCAAGTTAATCGCGTTTAGCCTTGTGGGTGATCCTTGTGAAACGGAGTGACCGACAATAAAGTCCTCTGGTTTAATCTGGACGGGCACTTGGGTCCAAATCCTTCACTACAAGTGTTCCAAAGCTTTTGATACAAGTGCCAAATGGTGTGGGATCATCTTCAGCGCCGTGGTCAGACGGTCTCTATCAGAAGCTTCCTTGATCTCCCTGTCAAACAGACCCTAACTTTACTTGTTCGAGTTCGCCCTCCTTATCCTTCCAATGTTTGAATGTTCTTTACGAGAAAAACATTGTTCATCCCTAATAGGCCCTGAATGCCAGATAGAAAGCATCTTCCCTACACTTGTCGCGGTATGAGATGCGGATTCTGTAAACTGACTCGAGATATGACAAGGATAAACACATTCGAAGGCGCTAGGGACTGTGTCTTATACTTAAGCATACAGTTGACGTTGCAGCAGGTTCACGATAGAGGCTGCAGGCGGACCTTAAACCCTGGACGGATTTTCTAGCATTAACCAAAGCATACCAAGCAAACATCAAGTCAGATTCGGACTGTGGATCAAATTGAAATTCATGGCAATTTTTTTTCCAGCAGAAGCATTTTGAATATGAAACTCACCTTTCAGCAAACTAGGAAAATCACATTCTGAAGCTAAATGATATAGGTTAAATGTCACGTGGGTGGTTTTGCCTGTGTCATAGTGGTGTACTTGGAAATTCGTATACTCACGAATCAAATTTTCAAAAAGGATATTTGAACGACTACTTGATCATCTGTACAATATATTTCAGTCAATTTCTGTATATAGCATATTATCTGTCACGTGTGAATATGCCTTAATACTATGTTGTTATTAAAATGCTTACTCAGATATGCAAATCAACAGAATACCACTTCTTTACTATTTATGCATACTTTGTTATGACAAAAATATAACCAGAAGTGATGTATAATAATTTTCAAACATAATCTCCCTTATGAATATCATGTAAACAGAATATATAGTGCATAACATAAATCAGAAACACGATCATGTTAACAGATTGGTGAAATTATTCTTTTCAGAAATATTTAATTTATTCCTTGAAATAAATAAACAATTGAAATAAGCATAAACTATACCTTTTTTATACCTGTGTGTTATCATATTGCACGATTTCAACGCTGTGATTAATTGTCCGTCGAGTTAAAAAAATATGACTAAATGGCGTGAGCAAGATAGGCATAAAAACGAAATGCCCGTATCGTGTACAATATAGCAAAACAGGGTGGCTGGTAGATTACGGGATTATCCCAGCACTTGAGCTCGCTATTGATTGTTAAGTGTCACCGTGTTGCTTGGACTTACTTAATCATTTCAACATTCATCTAATCTCGTAATCAAGTCACGCGGCCTTCAGAATACACTCTCTCAATTGATTCCACTGCGAGTTAATTTCACAAGACTCCTCACACGGCGAAACTTTTAATGACACAAGTTTATTGTATGAATAAAAGTTTATAAGGCAATGCTTTGACATACCGCGTTACTTCCTTACTTCGGGGTAGCGTCACGTGTTCCTCAGATTAGCGCGGATTATCCGATAAAGGATGAGGTATTACCGAAGGATATTGCACATGCACGCGTGTGGTATTGCTAGCTATATTGCCCGATACTATCTACGTGACGACTAGTTTCATAAAACTCTGCCCAAACCTCCTCATTAAAAAGTTAATAAAATATTTTTATGGAAAGCACTATACAGCGGATATTAAATAGCATCGTTATGTATCGGGGTTACCGAGAGGTGTCAGGTGTATGTTCAGCAAATGATCCGCTGAATCATTCTTAAACTATTCATCTCAAATAAACGCGTAGTTTACACAGATATTATCAGTGTAACAAAGACTGTTCTTAAATGTTTTCGATTCTGAATCTTTTTTAGTTTCGATAGTTTCAAATAAATGTGGGAATATGTAAAGTTTATGTTTGAGGTAACAATGATTATTTGCTATGAATTTATTTCACTGACACCCAAATTTAAACGCACTCTCTGTGTGTATATTGTAGATCACTGTATATAAGGAACAGGGTCGGAAGTGCACAATGGTCTCCGCTTCTAAGAGATATTTCACATAAATATGGAAAGGGTTTTGACGCTTTTATTTGACATTTCATGGACCATTTTAATCAAGTACATTCGAAAAAGAAATTCATTTTTACCTGCTAAATTACAATATAAAACAATTATGTTGGAGTGAATAGGTGTTATTTCAGTTACCACAAAGCCATAATAACATTTCGCCAATATGAGATATGCCTGAACGCATTCTGATTTTGTCTCGTGCATCAGTCGATTACACGTAACAGAAGACAAAATAGCATACTTTTGAATGAACATAGTGACATGCCCCGGCCACATCTTCCTCTGTTGTAGCATCTCGACATTACTGCAACCACATTCATGTTGTTTTTTTAATGAACATCAGCTTCGGTTTTTAAATTATTGCACAGTTACAATCCGTCAATAATAATTATTTTTGCTCAATCGTCTGAAAATTGGTTCGTTTTTGAACATTTTTCGATAGATATACAGAAGCTCAAGCATTAATATATTTTTGTATTATTTCAAATCTCTACACGAAATCTCTCTCTCTGGGAGCAGATAATGATTGCCTTCTAGCGCGTTATTGTGTATGCACTGTTTATATTTGCTGTAATTTCTAAACTATGGACGGTCGCTACTCTGTTCTAATCGTTGTCACTGTACAACTTTTCACTTTCGTTTACCAATATAACAAACTGTTCAATTATCCCCATAACAAGATGACGGAGCATGCGGGGACATAATGGCTATAATATTGACATTCCTAGCTAAATGAAACGAAGTCGGAACCCGTGTTTGCTGTATTCATTTGCATGGCTAAAACTTTCATTATAATCTTCATCATACTCCCTTTATGACTAAGTCATTCTGCTTTTGCCGTGTACCGTTTTAACAAAGGGTAGAGAGATACTGTTCTGGGCAGTCTGGCTATAAATGATTCCTCTACAATAATCATTTGTGTGTTTAAGATATCAATGGACGCAGTACTATCTCATATCTGCCAATCTTCACCATTTTTTTCCCATCACGAAAGACAAGTCGGAGAGATAATTGCTACCGTTGGGTGTGAATGAGCTCGGTGTGTTTGTCTGAATATTGATTTTTAATTGGAAGCCTGTTGACTTGGATGCGACAAGTTAACATTCGAATCTGCCTGATGGTTCGCAAAGAACGGCCTTCTTTGATTTAGTTGTTTGTACATTAGCGTACCATGCGGCGAGCACAATGCTCCTTTTATTACGAATCGGATGCTCACGACTCTCCCGGCGATTGTTCTAGACAGTCAATATGCAGACACTGTTGGGAAATCAAGCTTGTTGTTTCGGAGGTATCGATTTGGAACATTCATCTGAAGCCCTACAACAAACGGTGATGAAAAGTCGGGACAAGGGAAACACATACGCATACCTGTGTTGTCAGATGGGAGGACGACTTCTATCTGATCATTTGTCAACACCTGTAGGGCTCCCGAAATCCTCTTAAGAGTCTCGCTTCTACAGTCCTCATTGCACAGCGGTATATCTGGTTCTCGTATCATTTCGACATAATTGGGAAAATCTGGTGGTTATTAGATAACTGGTCATTACGCAGCGGTCATTATCTAACCACGAGGCTGGGGTAGCAGTGGACACCTCATACTGACCAGCTATTGTCTGGCCACAACGCTGACTGTTTAGGGTTGAAATGCGACCACGAGAAGGTAACGCTCCCTTTCACGCTTTGGTAAACACCTTACGCTTTTCTTGCTTGTCAACATAAGTGAGAGCTTCATTACTCTGTTATGTGACGCCATGCCTTCTATGGGAGATACGTGGTTTCGTAATCTTCACTTCACTTTCACTCAACTGTTTCAAATTGCTGGTCGCTTTTTGTCCCTGGTATTGAGTCGACAGTGGGAAAACCCGCCTCTTCCCCGCTGACCGTGGGGAGACAGACAGTACATCTCACCCGGGGGCACTAATCATGGAACGCTACTCTCACACCTGTAATTACATATATGCTACCTGTAGAGACTTACATGTGCCGTTATTGGAAACCAACAGGCTGTAAAAACAGCTACCTTTCCAATCCTTTCCCAGATTCTAAGTATATCTTACACCCAATTATATTCATGCAGAACTTGACAACTGCTTAGCTTAAACTAGACCTAACATAAAATAAATGACACTGGTGTATCATAACACAGTGGTCCTACTTATACTGGCGACATCATATGAACATATTTTATGAGGTATTTTTATGGATTTGAAAATGAGGATGACATGGTGTTTTTTGTTTTACTTTAGGTCGTATTCTGGTGGACATACCTTGTAAGGTCTGTCAAGATCACTCGTCAGGAAAACACTACGGAATCTATGCTTGTGATGGGTAAGGATGCAATACTATCTTATTTTTTTGTTAAAAAGTTCTTGAATGGATACCTGTTTTTGTATTATTAAACAAGATTTTTATTTATTTATTTATTTATTTATTTATTTATCTTTACTTGTTTATTTTTATTTGTGTGTTTATTTATTTTTCACTTATATATTAATAATATGTACTTTATATCCCACTAATGACAAAATTATTTGATTGCAATACAGATAGTACAGGGTTTGATCATCAAATGATTCCTCTATCAAAACACCTATCAGTGGATGGGTATATTTCGTGTCATCAAACAACTGGTCACAATTTAGGATACTCTGTTAATCCAATACACTGTCCGCCCAATAACCCTTCATTGCAGCAGTAGTAATGACGCTGTATATCTACCTAACGGTTCCATATGTTGTACTCAGTTTCATTATTTGTACAAACTGCAATATTGGCTATATTGGCTGGCTTCCACGTAAACTACCATTGCAGTCATGCCTTGTACCAGCTTGCATAGGTCTCAGTGTTTAGCTGTATTGTATTGGCACAGTCTGGTTAATATACCTGTACAGGTCTTCGATATTGTTCGCGAGCTGACATTGTCTGTTGATCTCCGCTCTTAATTATTGCTCTATCAGAGGGATGACTACAGGATTCGATTAAGTTTCAAATACCAGGATAAATCATAGCTGTCTGAGTTTATTTTCACCCATTTGTTTCATTTGAAACGGAATACAGAGCACATATTTAAAATCATTTTCAAATTTTGATTTATGGAAAATAATTTTGTTCTCATTAACAAATCGGCTTTGTTGATATTGAAATTCTATCCCTTTCCTCCCTTGTGATTATCTTTCAACGTATTTACTTTGGACCGACATTGACATAAATCATGACCTTGTTGTTTGTGTTAATGGTATTATCTTTCAAGTTTAATCATTGGTACAATTTACAATTGAAAACTAGACGATCTACAGATCATAATGAAATATCACAACAACGTCTCCTGTCAAAATGAAGGTTATGAACAGGTTCTGCACCTGACGTGCTTGACAAGCACCTGTCATGCATTATTCTATGTAACTCAATGTTTCGACAAATCATCAATCTATATGCAATCACTAGTGTAGAAGTTTGGAAATAGGTTTAAAAACAAATCGTTTTTATAGTATTAACTGAATATTTATCTGAAAAATACACTTTCCGTCATATACATGTTCTAATATATTAGCATTCTTCATTCCGCTTAGAATATATTATTTGTCATAATTAAGTTAAGATTATTATTGAAAGACAAAAATGTATGTTTACTTCGTATTACACTACCAGACACACTGATGTTAATAAATGTTCCCTAGAAACGAAACGACTGGATACATTATGCAATGATAATTCCCATATATTGCTGCTCAACTATTTCTTTCCACTTAAACGTTTTGACGGTTAATTACCACTGAGCATCGTCATCTGTTCGACGATTTCATTTATTATTATTATTATTATTATTATTATTATTATTATTATTATTATTATTAACACAACAGCCCTATCATCAACTTTTGATAAAGGCCCCAGTTTCCAGGCATCACTTAACAAAGTTTCTAAATATACCATATTTTATCATGTCCTTTACAGGCAAACCTCACTAATGTTTTTATAATCTTCCTTTCCAGCTGTGCCGGGTTCTTTAAGGTGAGTTTTAAATGTCTTAGTTACTTAGTCCGCCCTTTTAACATACATACTTGTCCGCCTTTGAATCAAAGTTAAAAGAGACGCAACTTTTCTCCAGGTAAAGTAACGCGTACTGTTTCCGCCTGCATCCCGCAAAGACAATCAATTCCCATCTTCCGCCCCTCCCCCATTCGTCACCCCCATTCCGCCACCCCAACCATGATGACAGTCATATGAGGGGGGTATTTGTTGAGGGGCACATCGCACGGTCCGCAAGCTGAAGTCGTCCCCTAGTGCAGTGTGTCCTTTGACTTCAGCTTCAGTGTTGGCAACCTGTCTATCCGGATCAAGTATTAACCCCCGTGTTTACTAGAACAAAAGTCTTCCGATTAGAAAGTTTAACATTTTCTTACCCAAACCCACCCGTAGCGGCTCGGCACGCTGACATCAAAGGACCAGGTTTACGTCCTCGTAGCTACCGATGTTTCGAACAATATTTAGTTTATACGACAGTCCCCTATAGGGCTGGCACGGGATTTCCTGATATCCCTGGCTCGCAAAATTAAACCAAAAGGTAAAAACTTAACGCAAACCTTGTAAAAATCTGTCGATAAAGCGTAGAAGTGGAGGGCTTGAATGTCAATAGCACAACTACGGTGGGGCACGTTGGATTGCGGAGGACGGGGGACACTACATAGCATGGATTGCCAATACTGAGATAAAGTGAGAGCCGCAAAAGTCAGGTTTGCTTATGGCTTTTGATTCTGTTGAAGTTACAGAAACAAACCAACGGCAAAAACTCGCAACATTTCTGAAACAGCTCTCACAGCTCTTCTCAGGAAGATTACAATGATTTGCAAACTCGAGTATTTGCCTAAAGCCCCTAAGATCAAAACTTGTCAAAGATTTGTTGATCAAAAGCTTTAGAAGTTGTGACTTTAGCGATTGCTTTGGAATGATTGATTTGACCACACGGCACGAGATCACGGCGTGACCCTGCGAGATCTCACTTCACAGAGCTGAGTTGCGTCATAGAAGGGTGGACAGACTCAAGTAAACTCAAACATTCGGGTTCTCGCGGTTCACCCCTTCCGACCTCAGTATCCAAATAAAAAATGCGTGTTCGAGTTTCGCGCGTTGTCCTTCGTCTCGTGTAGAACGTGATTTCCTACATCCGGGTGATGAAAAGGAAACGTACAATTTGCAAACCATTTTCCAACTATTTCATTCACAAATAACCACATTCCAATTTTATTAGACCGGAAATGAAACAAAACATATTACTCACTCACTCTTCAGTTATGCATCCTTAACGACGTCTATTTTCTTGACGTCAAGACAATGACACCAGTTAGTTTTACATGCATTCTTGGCTATATCAGTGTCGTTTATACCTACTTTCTGTGACGTTTCTTCTGAAATGATTAGTTTCTTAAAAGCAAGATACATTCTATGCTCAGGGAGAGAAGGGATTTAGATGGTGACGTCACTTCCGAAAGCTATCGTTGGAAATGGGTCCACGGTATGTCAGCAACCCATGCTTGTCATAGGAGACGACTAACGGGATCGGGTGGTCAGGCTCGCTGACTTGGTTGATGCATGTCATCGTATCCGAATTGCGTGGATCGATGCTCACTCTATCAATCACTGGGTTGTCTGGTCAAGACTCGATTATTTACAAACAGCCGTCATATAGCTTTGATAGTTCTGAGTGCGGCGGAAAAAAAACTTGTATCCTGTAGAGATAATATAGGAAGATATAATACCCTGGGTAGTCGATGGTGGACAAAGAAATTATCTAACAAGATGGAAGACAATCCATGAATCATTGTAAACAGTAACGATAATGACACACAGGGCCAAATTACATGTTTACTTCTATTTAATGAATGGCACCTGTGAAGATTCGGGTTAGAATAGGTCTTCAACAACCCATGCTTACCGTAAAAGGCGACTATGCTTGTCGTAAGAGGCGACTAACGGGATCGGATGGTCAGGCTCGCTGACTTGGTTGATGCATGTCATCGTATCCCAATTGCGTGGATCGATGATCATGATGTCAATCACTGGATTATCTGGTCCAGACTCGATTATTTACAGACCGCCGTCTTATATAGCTGCGATATTGCTGATTTCGGCGTTAAACAACAAACAAACAAACAAATCAATAAATGGGCAACTACATTCTAAAATATCATGGTATTAATCTGTTAATTAGTCTTTTAAGATGAATTGACACGGTGCGATTTGTTGGTACAAGAAATTGTATACGATAAGTTGTACTGTGTGAATGCACCTTAACTCCGTTTTAGCAATATCCAAGCAATACCATGGCAGGGGACGCTCGGGGTACACATTGTACCTATGTTGTATTCGAAGCCAGACGTGGGAATTACGCTTTAAGCACCACGCTAATACTAACCTCCTTAACACTTGTAGATATCCCATGTCAATAGGACGTTGTATGTAACCGTTTCACTGGTGTTTTATATCAAAGAGCGAGGGTTGTGTCCGGCTCACAGCGGGTGATCAATACCTTGACTGACATTATCTACCTGTTACGCCGGCGTCATAGTTTCCACTGATAACGACGTCTACAGCTCCACCTACTCAGACCAGTCAGATACATTTAGGGTACCTAAGCTGGCTTGTTAATATCACAGTCTGAACGTGGAAGTATATAATTCCACGCGTGGTGGAAGGTGAAGATATTTTATTAAAAAAGAAACTTTTCTCATTCACGAGATAAAATAAACATTGGACAACAAATACCATGAATTAACGAAGTAGTCTCTGTCATGATCATTTTGTGGAACGCAGTTGTATTGAATATTCTCTGAAATGCTTTGTCAACAAGGAAGTCGGGTTGCCGTGGAAACGTCTGTTTTGTGATGGCGTTACAGAAACTTTACTGTACATGATATCATAGATGAACTGGCCTTCAGCAACCCATGCTTTTCGCGAGAGGCGGTTAACGATATTGGGTGGTCAGGCACGCTAGCTTAGTTAATGCTTGCAATCGTATCCCAATTGCGTAGGTCGATGCTCATGAAGTCAATCATTGGATTGTCTGGTTCAGACCCGATTATTTGCAGAACGCCCTCATGCATTAGAATACATTGCATAAGAATATTGCTGAGTGCGGCTTTAAGCACCAAACGAACAAGCATATAGAACTTAACGACGACGTTCAATGACATGGTTGGCTAGCTATATTCGAAGTTCTCAGTATCAGTAAATACTGCACAACGGTACACAATAAAAACTAACACATTTATAAGGACTACCATTTGAAATTGGTTGTCAAAGCGACGCAACAACAATCGAATGGCGCATTTTTGTATATATATTCAAGTGTATTCTTCAGTTCGATTTTATCATATATGTCAAGCAAATCTCGTTTTCTAACACCATTTCAATGAGATAAAAACAATTTAGATCAGTAGTGCTGATTTCTTTGAAAAAGTTCTTGACGCATGATCGTCAAAGTGCAGCCAACTTTTAACATAACGATTCATTAATTAATATTACGTAGGGGGATTTCTAATCCCAGATGAATTGAACTTTATGTTATAACTCAGGCATATAACTTCGGATATTATAACCAATCCGAATGGCTTATTAACACACGTACTTTACGTCATATGGAATAACATGACATAGGGTGGTATGAAAGCCGATATACATGCACATGTTACCTCATTTCTATGAGGGGCGGTCGGGTAGCCTAGTGGTTAAAGCGTTCGCTCATCACGCCGAAGACCCGGGTTCGATTCCCGACATGGGTACAATGTGTGAAGCCCATTTCTGGTGTCCCCCGCCGTGATATTGCTGGAATATTGCTAAAAGCGGCGTAAAACCATACTCACTCACTCATTTCCATGTATGTACAGCTCAGCGTTGTCTCATCACGCCAAACAAAGCGCTGGCACGTCGCGCCAAACACCCCGGTTCGATTCCCAGTTTGGTTTCAATGTGTGATGCTCGTTCTTACTGTCAGTCGTCGTAATGGCTGGTATAAGGTCACGGTTGGTGGAATATGTTAAACTCTTCTTTTATAAACTTCTGTATTATTAAAACATGTTGAACAATCGGTATGTTTATGAAACATGAAAAATTGTATGTTTGCCTCTTCAGCGCTCAATCCGACGCAACCGCCAATACATTTGCAAATCGAGAGGACAGGGAAATTGTCCTGTGGATAAAACTCACCGCAATCAGTGTCGGGCGTGTCGTCTTAAGAAGTGCATTGAAGCTGGTATGAACAAAGACGGTAAGTAAACTTTGTGGCATTGTCTTTTCCACAAGGCTGTCACTTAAACACGAATAATGTGTTTTATTTCTTCAGAAAACTATCATTGGTTTTTACTGAGAGCGAGCATGTTGCAGATGAGGATGATGGTGGCTGGGAAAGGAGGGGGCGTGGTTTGTTTACTTTCTCTAGTGGGGTTCCCTCCCCATAAAGACCACTGATGAATGTGCCCCTCTTTTCTTCTTGCATATGACTAGGGGCTCCTACTTTCAAATAATGATGCTTTTTGCAGCTTTACACATTCTATGACCTTTTATATGACATCAATCGTGGTTTTGTTCTGAAGTTTGTTTGATTTTCAGCTTATAATAACCCCTTTTTGCCTTTGAAAATAATTCAATAAATAGTCATTGTCTGGTTTGGACTGTGTATTTTTCGGCATTGAAGCAATCAATTTTCGTAATTGTGGTACGTTGACGCGTTCCGTCTTTTCATAACTCCCAACAGTCGTAGTTCACACAGGCAAATAGTTCAGATCGCCAGGAACAATTAAGCCAGTCGGTGACTGTTTGGTTATCTTAGTGTAGCATAAATAATATGATTGACCGAAATAATAACGTTAAACTAAATAAATTGACCCCAAATCACATTCTGTGGTAGTGTATCCCAAAGACCCATTAGTAGGCCCCTACCTTCGACCAATCCATAAAGTTATAATGTTCGGATTGACTAAGACAGACAAAAACGAAACACGGTTACTAAATCAATACCTATTCATAATGGGAAATCAGTTCTTCCTGACATTGGTCACGTTTGTTGAAAATCACGAAATCAACATAATCGTCATGCTTGACACATTTTGGCTTCACCTTGTACATAACTGACAATCAAGTACAAAAGTATAAGGGCCACGCATAAAGAGATGTTTCTGTGTCAAACGTCCCTTTTCACATCATCATCTGCAACAGCTTGCAAATTCAAGGAGTCAATCTATATGACCCACAATGCATCATATCCAGTTCCGTCATTGAACAATGCAGATGCAAGCGGTGTCAGCTTTACGTGATAAACATTATTTTTCACATAAAGTCATAATTACCACACGCGGCTTTTCATTCCTTTCTCTTTGCGTTTGCTCCCGATCAGGTCTAGTAGTCCTCCGATGAACATATATTAAAAAATAATTAAATCCTTTGAAACGTCACTTGAAATGGTGGTGTTCTTCTAGGGCCTGCGACACTATGACACGCAATAAGGGCGTCGGGTCTTTAGCACCAATTGTTGATGGAGATAGCACTTCACAATTGAAATAAAAGATGCTATCGCCATGCAACCGATCTATTTGATGGTTTACTTTAAATCTGGTCATATGACATATGATTTCTTGTTTCTGGAAATGGAGTTAATAAATCCATATAATATCGCGTCAAACCGAATAATTATCTCAGTTTATCTCTAATCAAACTCACTGTTACTTTGTTCTAAATGACAACATCAGGAAGGCCTAAATATTTGTTTATAGTGATCGCAGGAAATGTTTTAAAATAATTCATGCAAGATTCGTAAATACGTTTCGACACTACATTATGTGGGTGGACGTGTATAAATGATTGTATTTTAAATATCCATACATATGAAAATTATTTTACTTATTGTTACAACCCCTAAGATATAGTATGGTGACATTTTCTCATGGTAGAGTACAAGCTGACATGTTTGGTGGTAGTTTTTTTAATTAATTAGAGTCATCTGAAGAGCGGCATTTTTTAAAGTTAAATTATACATTACATTTGTTCACAACTCTTCATTATTGTGGGTACATATAACCACACCATAGTTTAATATTTGCAAAATTAAAAAAATCAATCTTATGACCAATTAAAATCTTAAATCAAAGAAATATGTCAACCGATTTTTAATGAAAGGCTAATCGTTTTCAACGATTCAAACACGATTATTAAATCTAAATTAAACGCCAGTTAATATCTGCGGATTAACCATTTTGACACAAAACGAGTGATCCCCACTCGAGACCTCCACTCCTATGAGATCGTGTTTCCCAAGCGCATGGACTCTGTGGTTAGTCTAGCCGAAAAGCAGGGTGTTCCTCATAATTTAGTGATAATACGGCGATCAGCGAGTAACAACTTTTAATGAGACACTCGAATTTGATGAGTCGATCGTCAACACAGGGACGCAAGGCGAGAAAGCCCCGCAAGGAGCAGAAGCGGAGACACGCTTGTACGTGGACGAATAATTGACTCGGAAAGCACACGTACAAATAGAGTCGAGGCAACCAAACACGAAGGATAGGGCGAAACACTCCGATTGTAACCCGATGAGAAATGCGCTCAACGATTTGATTAGGCAATTACCGGAGTCATTGTATGACGCGGAACGTCTGAATAGATGGTCACGTAGCTAACCTGTCCTTGTGTAATTATACTCAGGGGGCAGGAGCTCATAATCCGGGGGGTGGGGCCCTCATGGCCAAAAATCTGTCACTTTTATGAAACATTTGTTTTGATCTTAGTAACATTTGTTACATTCAACCAGAACCGGACATTGTAGGACATTGTAAGACGTTGCATTAGCGCGTTCCAAATACCTGGAATGTCCAGTGACACTGATGACAATTCCCCCTAAGATAACACTGACTTTAACGTATGTTTAGCGCTTTGTTAATTAAGTTCACGCACATCTCCAAAAATGTCATCGTTTACGGTGTTTGGAGGCAGAAACTGTTTCTTTTTAAAGGGACCATTTCTTAAATTCCTGAAACTGATTAAATTCCAGACATGACGCAAAGGTTGGCGGTGAAGCATCCTTCTGTGATATGGTTATTTTACAAATGAAAAGTTTAAATTCCATTTTGTTTAATCGAGTCCACATCTGTCACCATGCATTTTGTTTATCAACGTCTTGTCCTAACCAGATTTCTTCTGAGTGGCACAGTGTATTTAGTATCTTGGCACGCGAAGACTTAATTTAAGCAAGAGCGACATCGGTCATGTTTGCTAATCATACATGTTTGCAATATCAATAATTTAATTTCAAAGAGTTTCATCGACAATTTACGATTGAATTTCTCGATAAGTGACACCTTTAATTGTTTTTTAATGTTTAATGAATGTTAATCATTTGCATCACATTTGTAAACTAGAATAAATAATCCATTTACATTATAAAACATTTAATTTTTAATAATGCTCTGAAACTTACAATTATGACTTTAGACGCGTCAGATTTGTAAAAAAAATATAAAAAGGATTTTCTTTTTAAAGTTACCTCCCTGGTTAATAGGTTTACAGATTATGGCGTAGGATTAAAAAAATAAATGTTCCAACAGGTTCCGATAAAAGCAGTTCAGTAATGCTCTGATAAGCCAGCAATATCTGAGAAGAAAATCAATTTAAGAGACACATTTCGTCAAGGACTTTTTATAGCCTCAATAGAGTAGGCCCAAACCCTCTGATAGAAAGATAGCAGGGTAGAGGTGAGCTGGTCTTGAGTGAAGGTATTGTGATGGCTTTGTCATGGGGTTTCCTTCTCTCCCACCTGTCTAAATACACAGCATAAACTGAATAGTCCCGGATATCTCTCAATTTCCAGGTTTGCAAGTAATGTACACATGACGTTCTCCGTTGGTCCTCTTCTTACTCCAAAGCTAAAATAGTCCTATCATCCGACCAGTCAAACACAGAGGACTTTTGTTCGGGAGTCTATTGAAAAGTTATACTTTGTGAAGGCGGGTAGGCGATGGGTTTGACCTCCGCGAGTGTGTGTTTAACCGGCGCATGAACACGTAGTGAGGTGGTCTCCTCACACAGAAAGTACCACAGAGAAACTTTTGATTTTCATGAATACGATATAGGCTATGATTTGTTTAAAGCCCACTCGCGTTAGCACCTCATTGGGGATTTGTGACCGATGAATAGGACTAGGTGAGGGACTCTTCAGAAGCCACGAAGGCAAACATGGATTTCAACGACATCTCTGCCAAACAACAAATCTCTGCCTGCGTTCGGGACTCTTCCCACCTGACTCAAAGACTTAGTAAAAGTTTTCTGCTTGACACCTCTCGGAGTCAATATTTTTTTGTCAGGTCGTGAGGTGCTGGCATATTTGCTGATGATCGCAAGTGTCTTTTCCTTCATCCATTTAATTGCCTGTTGTACATCTACATCAGTGACACCGATAGAACCCACAGAAAGTCGAGTGTTCTCGATACACTGAACAAGAAGCTATCCCCGACTTGTCTAACCTTACCCTCAAGCTCTACCCGCCTGCGATCAAATAAGAAAGTTGTTTTGATAATGACACATTCAGACACCTTGTGCGGCGAACCTTTCACAATAATGTCATTCTCAGCATACCTTCGTGCTCTTGATAAATATTAAGACGCTAAGGATATATTCAAATTTTAAAAAAAACACTTTCCAGAAGTCTAACGAGTATTTGACTTCTATTCAGTTACGCATAGGAGAAGGTGTGTGCAGCATCCCACTAGAACATCCTCATCGTATCAGGGTTTGGTACTTAGCCAAGAGAAAGGTGGAAGGGAAAGACAACTTGACGTGGATTGTGTTTATTCAATCCTGTCTTATGCTCTATCCGCGTAAAGTGGCTTCACACAACGACATTCGTCTGACTGTTAAAGGGATTTTTAGAAACTCTGCAACATCCTCAATGTATTCGGATATCTTAAAACTGAAGCTGTAGTGTTTAATTGGATTTCAAGTCATGTAGACTACGACACAATGTCATGGTCATTTAGGTTACTCGTTTATCTATACTTGTAGGTCAATACAAGTATAGGCTAATACTTTTCAAACGGGCTTTTCAATTCTTGTTGTAATCGATACAATCAGTATGAGACGTTAATTATTAATACTAGGCCTTGTTGGCCCTTTTAACACGTAAGTGCCATTATACCATATGTGTGAGAGAGAGAGAGAGACGCCCAAAGGACCATGAGCTACAATAAAAGGACTAAGTTACAGCTAATCCTAGCAAGTTTTATTGCCTTTCTGTCGCTTTAATTCAATTTCCCTCTTATATTCCGATGAGAAACACGAAAATTCGTCTTTACTTTTTGCGTGTTTTCATATGACATTTCCTCCATTTTACCAATTCTGTGAATAGCTCTTTTCTTCTCCACAGCCGTTCAGCACGAGCGAGGACCCCGTAACTCCACGATCCGCCGCCAGGTGGCGATGTATTTGAAAGAGACGAGTGAGTTGGGGACGGTATTAGCTGCTAATCCGTACCGATCCCCCTTCCTACCCGCCTACGTTGGCTACGAACACGTCAACGACGGTATCACGGTATCAGCCGTCGACCCACCCCCCACCGCTACCCCCGGGGTCATTATGCAACCTGTGCCAAAGGTGGGTACAGATGTATCTACCATCAAACCCAATCAGGTGCGATATTGAATATTAGCTAACCTTTTTTTTGTCTGTACAAAATATTGAAAGATGATAAGATCCATCCACGTGTAACAATTGTTATGGACCAGAACTAACCATGTTATGATAATGATTAATAAGGGTTGATTTAATATTATTTCCGTTTCTGTGGGATATAAACTGGACATAATAAAGAGAATGCGAGTAAGGCTTTGTTTGTTGTTCGATATTAATAGCATTATAAGCTAAAGCTCATACGAAAACATATGCCGCTGATCATATATACTAATAAAACTTATTATAACGTCTCTCATAAGCCGCATGGCGGATGGTCTCGAATGTGGTTCATGGTGTTTTATCCTGTCTTGTGTTTCAAGTCATTTGAGAACTATACTGTTTGTACTGAATAATGAGAGAACGAATAAATAGGGAGCCATATGAATGTCATGACAAGTCATGTACCAAGATATTGTTTGTCAATTACCAGACATTTGCATTTCACTCCTTGCCAAGTTTCGTTGAAAAGAATCAGTTCTTTGAACACAAAAAGTAATTTATTCGGCAATATTGTCATGCGGTTCCTCATATTATTACATCAGTATATATGTTCAACGATGTTCTCGGTTCAAATCGTACTTCTAGGATCATGTCAGATATTGTGAGAACACATGTGTCTAACCGATCCAATATTCATTTCAGTATCCGCACGAGATGATGCAGGCCTATTTCTCCAACCCCGAAGCTGTCTGTGAGGCAGCAGCGCGACTGTTGTTCATGGGCGTGAAGTGGGCCAAGTCAGTGCCAGCCTTCCTCAGTCTGCCCTTCAGGGACCAGGTGATTCTCCTGGAGGAGAGCTGGAGGGAACTGTTTGTCCTGGGAGCAGCCCAGTTCCAGATACCTCTTGATGCAGGACCTCTTCTCTCTGCTGCAGGTTAGTTTTGGGGGACATTATGTTACCTGAACCTTTTGTGGGATATCCAGTTCACTCTGAATATTATTCAAATCCATTGAGTGAGTGAGGGAGGATGGTTTTACGCCGCTTTAAGCAATATTCAAGTAATATCACGGCGGAGGACACCAAAAAATGGGCTTCACACATTTTACACATGTGGGGAATCAAACCCGGGTCTTTGGCGTGACGAGTCAGCGCTTTAACCATTAGGCTACCCACCGCCCCTCAAATCCATTGGATACACCAGAAGGTCGTGATAGCGTGTACTATGATTACAAAACTTTGCAGATTAACAATAGGTTTGTCGAATATACGTTGAAGGCTTCATTACAGCCGGACATGACTGTATGACATAAAATAGTGAAAACACGTTTGACTTTTGAAACTAGTAAACTGCCGGGCAAAAGAAAGTTAACCCTTGAATTCAGATTTGACCAACAAACTACAAACGTTACGCCACCTGCTTCACTCTGTTGATTCCGTCGACATTTCTTCATCTTCTTTCATTTTTAGCAACCATCAAAAATTGGTGTACACTTTGTTGGGCAATTTATATATTTAAACATTTGCTTGCTATGTTTTCTCACTTAAACGGATGTAGATCTTATATTGTCTAAATTATGTCATTTGTAATCTAGGTGTAATGGTTTTATGGTGCTTGTTATCTATTGAAAAATGCATTGTGTCACGTCGCAGATACAATGACAAAATGTCCAAGGACAAATTCGAAAAAAAACCCACTATGTACGTTTGTACTGGTATGGTATATTTTCAAATCATTTTGACTCTGATTACAGGTTTCACAACCGAACACACTCAACCAGACAAAGTCGTCAGCCTCATGACTGAAATCCGTGGCCTCCAAGACGTCATCGCCAAGTTCAAGGCTATACAGGTCGATCCTACAGAGTACGCGTGTCTGAAAGGGATTGTCTTATTTAAATCAGGTACGATACAACCATATCAAACAGATATAGGCAGTGAACTGTTAAAGGGCAAGTTCACACGGAAATGAACCAATTTTTCTTGTACTTTTTCCACATTAAAAGTGTTAACATAGAAGTGTCATAGACAAAATTATAAAAACATCATATTTAATTAACATATTTTTTGCATTAAAACGATTTATATTTTTCACATTTACTAAGTGTTCTATTTCCATAACAAAAACACCATGGCTTATGCCCCTTGCAATATGACGTCATTGGTGCCAATTGATAAACATTATGACGTCATCATGCTTTGTTAGAGCCGCTTCACGTGGTGTAGGTACAGTTTTGTGATTTTAGCGTCTCAGATGCCAGCCAGAATTGTGTTATACTGAGTCACCACTGCGCCGGAGTGTGTCGTAGACCATGTTGTTTTACATAAAAAACTGGTCCTTGATATCTTTTGCGTTGAGAATAGACAGGGACCCAGTTGAATTAGCACCAATTACGTCATAATCTAAGGGAGATAACTCAGGCCTATTTTGCTCGTAAAACGAAGGCCTCATAACGGCATATCATTTTAACACTATTGTGAGCTTCCTACTTTCACTGTGAGAAAAAATGAGTGTATATTTTCAAACACAGATACTAACTAATTCTAAAATTGCGTTTTGTTTAGAAAAAGAAAGAAAGTGATTTTTGCGTGTACACTTCCCCTTTAATTATGCTTTTTACAGTATTGTACGGTCTTACTATCCTTTGGATCTCTGCTGCACAGAGGCTAAAATTTCCTGTTTGGAAATATGTTGAAATAGAATGGTCCGCTTGATGTACTCCATTTCTTAGAGCTTTCACACTCCACACAAAAATAGTAGTGACAAATAGAATGAATATGCACTACGAATCATTGTGATAATACATTATATCACAAAGGGGTTCCAATGGATTCATTATATACCAGTAACTACCTTGCATGAATGTGGAGGCCATTATACAGATGGGCTCCACAAAAACAATATCCACTACCAAAGTCGAGGAAGTATCCTTTCGCCCATGCTTGCTTGTCATAAGAGGCGGGTCGGGATCGGGTGGTTGATGCATGTCATCGTATGCCAATTGCGTAATAACAATAACTGGATTGTCAGGTGCAGACTCGATTATTTACAGGCCGCTGTCATGTAGCTGGGATATTGCCGAGTGCAGCCTTTAAAAACAAAGAAACAAACACACAAAACATTTGTGTTCCTCGTCATGATATGGCTGAATATTGCTAAAAGCGGCGTAATCCAACACTAACTCACCTATGTGTCCTTCTTCGTTTCAGTATTTCCAAGCAATAACACCGAGATGAAGACCCTACGAGAGTTCCACACAGTAGCTACACTCCAGGATCAGGCACAGCTCACCCTTAACCATTACATACGGACAGCCTACCCAACACAGCCATTCCGCTTTGGCAAACTATTACTGCTACTCCCATCTCTCAGGTCCGTGTCGCCCGTCACCATCGAGGAGGTGTTCTTCAGGAAAACGATAGGACAAATTCCCATTGAACGTCTCTTGGTTGACATGTTTAAATCGAGTGACTTCTGAGTACATGGTTGTGACTAGTATTAAAGGTGAAGGTTATGGGGAATGTGCTGGCTGAACCAAGTATTCAGACGGGGACGTCAAGGTCATGGCGTCGAGAAGCCTTTGCTTCAGAAGATGCTATTCTGGAAACAAGACCAGGTGCCTTCTTAATCAAAGTCAAGAACGTGTCCGCACTCCAAAGAAGGTCAATCGACAATCCACGTTGGGATTCATCCCCGTTCCAATAAAGAAGTTGATGCGCAGAAGAAACTACATACAAGGGAGATTATTCACATGCCACCGAGATGCGACGTGACCTACTTAGGCCGATGCTGTCCCATGCTGTCCCAACAACCCTGAACGCTGATCCAAGCAAACCTTGGTATATCCGGGCAATTGTAAGGTATCTACATACCTACATGTATATGCTGTCGGTCCAAGCATATCATTGAATATGAATACCTTAGCTGGGTGCCGTATTCTATCATCTGTGATTTTTGTTGCAATGGACTTTATTAATTCTGATGCAACGTTGAAGCTACCTCTGTACTCAAATTAGTGTTGTGACGTTATAGTCGTTCCATGCAGAGACTTGTTAACCTTTAAAGATCTGATACACTTTGTAGATAGATGTGATGCAGGAATCTCCCTATTTCAAATATTTCCTTTTCATAACATGTGTTGGATCTGATGTATTTTATCCGCAGCCCTCGCGGCTCTAAAGATATAGTCCATGCACCAATACATTCAGCAACAAGTATGTCTTTCGTCTTTAGCAAGCTAGTCTTAACTTATAGTTCAATATAGTGTTACGAGTCCGTGTACACACATTTAGCAGGCTTGTCACCCCTGTCGTTTGAATTTAGCGAACATTACCTCTCAGGTAATCGGCAGTTGCTCACTGTCGGATTGTGTTGCGCGAGTTTGTAAGGATTATCTTTCTTCCGCGGCGATCGCGACACCTCTGACACAATATCGCCAGGGAAAAGCTGTCGACACCTTTCACCGTTCGGTTTGTGAAGCGTCCGGTTTCATCGTCCCCTGAGTGGCTGTATGCTTTCCTGGCGTTGGGCGGGCACCTGACCCCCTTGTGCGTGCCGGGAAGGGGGGACCACGCTGGACTTGTAACACCACTGTGTAACTCAATCTTTATCCCGAAACCAGAGCTCCCCGTGACCATGACAAAAAGTCAATTTTTCCTTTGATATCCTTTTCTGACGGAACGGAGAGCGTGTAGGAATCTTAATACATACGGTGACTTGTGTAATGCAACCTGTTCTAGAACAATTTGAACTCAAATCACAAAGAAAAGATTTCCCTCAAAGCTAATACCAGGCCCTTATCGGGGGGAATACAAATGAAAGGCATATATCGCATGCCCTGTAATGCCCATTTGCTTGCTCACCTGGTGGGAAACATCCTAGTATGCAATTCTTACGTTTACTCCAACACCAGACCCATTGATGACTGAAATGTTAACTCCTAATACTCTTATTGTTCTCAAGCCCATGTTGACTGAAGCCAAGTGCATCATTTAGTGCTAAAAATGTACAAACATTGGTCCATTTTCACAGAACCATTAAATACATTTACAAATGAAAAATGATTAAGGGACCGAGAACTGTTTAATTGAGAGGGTTGGGATATCTGTTTCAGGCAGAATATGTTGCAAGTCAGTGCTTCCAGACATACAAAAACATTCTCTCAAAGAAAGAGTGAAACATTTTTTGACCCACAAAACATTTCTTTACATCTGTACATCCAGCTTGTCCCGTGAACGATTTAATATTTTTTGCCTGAGATAAATTATTTTTACAGCAGTTTGGTGAAAGTATTATGGGTTTTTTTCAAAACAAAAATCACCACTCACCGCCACCCTTCAATCTCCAACGAATAGTATCAAATGGTCAACCCCTACCTATTTGGTTATGAAGTTCTTTCAACATCGGTATCTGTTCTACAGTCTATGTCGTATCTTTGAAGTAGTTGTTGATTTATTGGTGCAAAAAGTAAAATTATACTAGTGCTGAGTTTTTATTTTTATATTTGATTTGTGCTTCCAGATCTTCAATGTTTATCGTGTTTAGTACATTTATCTCTGTAAAACGGATTGTTATGTTTATTTATTAGCTTTATGAGTATCTTTGCTTGGGATGTCATGTCTATTTGATAAATAGTATGTTATTTCAAAACCTTTCCCTACTTTTCCTATATGAATAGCAATATCACCCTTCGGTTTGTATCAAATGGATCTATAAAATTATTTTTATTTTGTTGACATATTCATATTCATTTGGTAAGTCTGTCTTATCGTCTAAAGTGAATGCAAATCTTATTTTGTTTATGGACTTCTTATACCACTGAAAGTGGATCACTATCATAAATCCATACTTTTCGATACATTTACATTTTTTAAGATGCGGTTCTCTAAAGTTACCGCAGGTGTTAGTAATTAAACCAATATATCTTTGTAAGATTCTTTAACGGGGGGATTATATTTGAGACTTTATTTCTAACTGATTCCCTATCATTTTAAACGAATGCAAAGTCTAATGTAAGCAAAAAGATCTAATTTTATCGAACTTAATTGAAGTTGACAGCAAATTAACCGAAATATCACTCAACAAAACAACTCTGGTATTGCCTCGTTATTCGTTATGTTCTGTCTTTCCAGTACTGTTAATGTGAAAGACTTTCTACTTTGTCTCTTCTCCATCACACACGTATGGAAATGTTAACTCCACTTCCTTTTGAGTGCAATACATTTCTTCACGCACATGTCAGTATCTCTGGCTTAGCACCATTACAGATCTTTAAATATGATGTATGATGCAATAAATGATGAATATACCTAATGATTTTGTTATATCTCTGTGGCCATAGCTGCATGTTTAACCACGGATTGGGCGGTGGGTAGCCTATTGGTTAAGGCTTTAGCTTGTAGATCTCATGGATACATGTGTGAAGCCTATTCTTGGTGTCTCTTGACTTCATATGCCTTGATTACTGTCAAAAATGGGACCATGCGACAGACGTTGTTTGACTCGAGGTGACTTACGACAGATATATCATAATTGGCTCAGAACTGACGTAGCATGGGAGGCTTGCGAAAGACGTAGCGTTCGAGACTTACGACAGACGAGCATGAGATGCTTACAGCGGACGTGGCATGAGTGACTTACAGCAGAGGTAGCACGAGCGACTTACGACAGACGTAGCACGAGAGATTTATGACAGACTTTGCTTGAGGTGCCTACGTATACGACAGACGTTGCATGCGATACTTACGACAGACGTAACTCGCGTGAGATACTTACACCAGACGTCGCATGAATCACCTACGACAGACGCAGCATGAGTGACTTTCAACAGTCGTACAGAGACGTACAGCAGGCGTAGTATGATAGACTTACGACAGACGTAGCATGAGGGACCTACCTGTAGCATGAATATTTTACGATAACCTTATTATGAGATACTCTTAGACTGAGATGCTTATGAGATACTTATGAGAGACTATTGTCAATAATTCAATATGAAACATCAACGATTAAGTAATCCCAACCGGAGCGAAAACCTATATGGAATTGAAATTGAGTCTTGTGATGTCTTAAGGGATTATTCAAGACACAATATTTCGAAAATATTTATGATAAACACTTGATCTATATAAATAATAACAACTGACACGGAAACACATTCTTCATCAGTCAGATGTATGCTCACATTATTTGCATTAAAATACACGGCGACATTTATTGAAAATGGCACGTAGCATAAAATACTTAGAACACAGACGCAGCAGTGACCTATAACAGACGTAGCGTGAGAGATTTACGACAAACGTAACGCTAGCATGAGAGGCTTACGACAGACGTAGCGTCTGTGACTTACGACAGACATAGCATGAGAGACTTACGACAGACGTAGTATGAGATACTTACAACAGGCGTAGCATGAGAGACGTACGACAGACGTAGTATGAGATACTTACAACAGACATAGCATGAGAGACTGACGACAGACGTAGTATGAGATACTTACAACAGACATAGCATGAGAGACTTACGACAGACGTAGTATGAGATACTTACAACAGGCGTAGCATGAGAGACGTACGACAGACATAGTGTGAGTGACTTACACCAGACGTTTTTTTGAGAGACTTATAACATACGGAATATGAGAGACTTACAATAGACGTAGTTGGAGAAACTTACAACCGGCGTAGCATGAAAGACTTACAACAGATGTAGCATGACAGACTTGCGACAAACGTAGCATGAGAGACTTGCGACAAACGTTGCGGGAGAGACTTGCGACAAGCGTAGCATGAGAGACTTACGACAAACGCAGCGTGAGAGACTTGCGACAAGCGTAGCATGGGTGACTTGCGACAAACGTTGCGGGAGAGACTTACAGCAGACATAGCATGAGAGACTTACGACAGACGTAGCATGAGAAACTAGCGACAAGCATAGTATAGGAGACTTACAAAAGACGTAGCATGAGAGACCTACTACAGACGCAGCATGAGAGACTTGCGACAAGCGTAGCATGAGTGACTTGCGACAAACGTTGCGTGAGAGACATACAGCAGATATAGCATGCGAGACTTACGACAGACGTAGCAAGAGATACTTACAGCAGACGTTGCATGAGATCGCGACAAACGTAGCATGAGAGACTTACAGCAGTCGCAGCATGAGAAACCTACAACACCTGTAGCACGAATATAAGAAACTCTCAGATTGAGATACTTCCTTTACTCGTTGAGGGAGAGATTTGCAATAGCTGTAATATAATATATTGAGCATGGGAGACTTACTACAGCCGTTATACGTTATACCCTTTGCGGGAGAGAATATCATCAACAGTTCAATATGTAGCATCAAAGATTAGTTGTTTCAACCGGGACGTAAACCTAGATGGAATTGAAATTGAATCTTGGGATATTTTTAAGGGTTATTCAAGATAGTTTATTTCGAAAATATTTCTGAAACACACGTGATCTATTTGAATTAAAACAACTTTATATGTTTGACATCGAGTTGGTATTCTCATTGTCCCGACCGTCATCTGCTGTGTCGCTTCGCTGACATGGAAAACACCTTCTTCATCAGTCAGATGTGTGCTCACATTAAATTGCATTGAAAATACACAGCGACATGTATTGACAATCCAATTGAAAGAATGTAAATACGAATGCGCGGTTTAAGCATTACAGGGACGCATTACAGTCTTTAACACACCGCTTTGCTGGTGATATAGATAGAGAATACACAGTGGAGTGGATTGGCAAGCCATTTACACAATAACATTTTCAGCTTGAAGCAAATAATACCCATTTTCAATGCATTATGGTTTAACTCACTTGCTTCTTAAAGCATACACCCCAATACAAATGGTATAATTCAATATCAGCTTGAAGCAACTTGTACCCATATTCAATACATTTTGATTTTACCCAATAAGATCTTAAAGCAAAAAGCTCAAATACAGTTGCCTTTAATTCAATACAAAAGATTTTCAATACATTTTGGTTTAACTCACTGGCAACTGGCAGCTCAAATACAGTTGTGTTTAATTCAATACAACCTTGAGACGCGCTATGGTATAAGTCACTACATGTATTAGCTTGAAAAAAAATTATACCCATCTTTAATACACTTTGGTAAACACAATGTAACATAGCACGTCACTGCAAGAGAGTATAGGGCAAAATAACAGTGAAAGTTATATCAATGAACCAATGAAAATCAGTGTTCGCGAAAAGAGTAAGCAACATATTAGTCATACCTGTGCAGATTAAATTATGTGCAGTTTTAATGTACTTGTTTACAAAACTCGTATTCATGTTGTTAGATTTGGAGTTACAGTAATTGTGTGCTAAGCTTTACGTTATTCAGCACTACAGTACAAATACTTATCACCACACTTTACACATGACCTTCTTTCGAAGCTATGTTTCTTGACCCGCCGTGAACTCAATGTTTTCACGTCTGATTTCTCACCTATAATCCTGGATTAACTTGTGTGTATAACCTCTTGCAAGTCATGGCAATACCAGGTAATTCATCCACTTATGAAACCGTTGTCGCTTATGATTAAAATGTAGTGTTTAGTTTCACTCTGACTCACCGACGCTGTCAGGTTCGAACAAATATGTTTGTTTAAAAGTAATATTCCTCGTCCAGATATATTTGAAAACAAATATTGACAGACGCTTAACCCGTCACTCGTGTTATGTGTAGATGTACTATTCAGTCTGTATTATACCTCAGTAGAAATAGCCTGCTTTCAGAATTCATACAGTTGGCAAAAGTGATTGGTTTCTGGGGTCTTTGCTGCAGAGGTGCAGAGGTCTGATTATAGGTCTCAAATTGACAACCCGTAAAACAGCTGTGATATAATTATTAAAATGGTGTTAAAAATAAACTTTTCATATCTGAATTCGTCATTCGCTGTATACCGACTAGACGCTGCTACTACATGTAGGCATGAGCCTTCTCAGCGTGGACACAGGTTAAAATAGGTCGCCAGCAGGCTATTGCTAGCGATGAAATGTAATGGTCGTCGTGATATGGATTAGATATTGCTGATTATAATCGCGTAAACCTTTGCTTAAGTTCGCAGTTAGTAACACGCGTACATCTTTGTGGAATGTTTTTGACTTCGTGATTGTCGTAAGTAACGAATAAAATGTGAGCACAATGTATGCGCGCGCGAGTGTGTGTGTATATACGTTATGTGAGTGAGTGAGTGAGTGAGTGAGTGAGTGAGTGAGTGAGTGAGTGCATGGATTAAGTGTCATCATACCTATCGCTGTTCTTGCCACCATACAGGTATCAAACTTGCAGAGATACTGCATACATGTTAAGATTGCATGTTGTAATCTCTAATACGAATGAACCAAAGAGTAAATATGCCTCACAAACTGATATAATCAAAGTTCTGTGGTACGTGGTCCTTGTGCTGAGTAATCATGCTTTAACAGTCATTTTCACACACAAAATAGCTAAATTGAAATGAAATATTTGCAATTATCGTTCATTTTATTTGCTTTATCAATATTTAATGTTCAAAGGATTTTGTAAAAAACAACTGTACGATGTGCTATATATATTTGAACTAATAAAAATATGACTATATCTTATTCAAAGAACTATATTATGCAAAATGTCATTTTTTGCTTCGTCTTTTCCACTATGCCTATACGAAGATGTCTGGTCGTCCTCTTCATATTTACACAGATGAGGGGTTTCGTCTTCAATATAAACCCATTTTAAATTACAATTTCACGTTAGCGCTCGGCAAACATATGTTGTTTGAAATTAGTTAAGCTGCTTCTGTAATTTTAATACTTTTCCATCGCTTGTACAACATTTATCCTTTCCTTCATTGTACGATTCACGATAAAGTCAAAGGTCCTTCTTCAGTGGGCGTGTCCTTCATATTCAGCATAGAAAGGGTGCTTTAAAATCTACAAATGAAACATATAGCCCCCGGCCAGGAAAATTCTTCCCGACAGCAGATTAATTCTGCATTGTGGAGATACTACTAAGAAAGAAAGATTGAAAAGCCACCGAGGCAAAATCTTCATGACAAGCCGTA